GCTAACTAAAATTTAGAATATAAAGTTGATGTACTATCATTGAATTACATAATAATATTTCATAAAAAAAATTAATTTTAAAATTTTAAAAATAAATTCCTAAAAATATTAAAATTAATTTTTTTTATGAAATATCATCTTAGAATTTACTAATAGTATATTAATATTATATATTAATAATGCATCCAATATAAGTATTAAAAATTAAGAAGCAACTAGCCTTTAACCATTTCTGATGCTCTCTCCGTTGACCATCCATATTAGTAGTATTCTAATTTATGTTTTCATGTAATATATACTATTTCAAGTGTTCATCTATGTTATGCGACTATACATTCCTAAGAGTTGAAAGTTACATCCAATATTAACTAAGTTTTGATGCATATATCATCTACTTAAAGAGTTGAATTCGTATTAATTTTAAATAAAAAATAAAAGGTACACACAAATCAAATAAAAAAATGAAAGGTATATACATCGTATAAAACAATAACGATGAAATAGATAAAATGTTTTTATAGTGATTTACATATATAGTGAATTAAAAATTAAAGGGCAACTAAACTTTTTTTTTTTTATCATTCAAGGGACAAAATTTTACGTTAAGGGCAGAATCCTACATTAAGGAGAGGGAAGAAGGTTGAGTTTCAAACCCCAACTATAATATGCTCTATCCGTCGACTATCCATAATAATTAGTAGTATTTTAATCCAAGTTTTCATAAAATATATTATTTCAAGTGTTACTCCATGCCATGCGACTTCAAATACCTAATCGATGACAATGTCTGAAACAGCATGGATTTTCTTAAAAAGCATAATGTTTTATGAATCATAACAGCTGCGCCAACGGCACTTTTCTTGCCTCTAACTAAAGGTATCGAAGAACCTCCAAAGTTAAAAATAACACCAATGAGAGCTCAACCTCCAACGCCATTGCCCAAACTCGAAGACGACCTGGACCTATCAACTCGGCCCACTTCATTCCCGAATCAAACTCCTAACACCTCAGTCCCTGGTCATCGGAAAAAAGGTACCGGTGTCAGGGCATGGCTTTTACTGGACTCGATGGGCCAGACCCAGGTGGTGGAGACCGGAAAGCATGCTATCATGAGACGCACGGGTTTACCTCCGCGAGATCTTCGGATATTGGATCCGCTTCTGTCGTACCCGTCAACGGTCCTGGGTCGAGAAAGGGCTATCGTGATTAACTTGGAGCACATAAAGGCAATCATCACGGCCCAAGAGGTTTTGCTGTTGAATTCTAAGGATCCTTCGGTTAAGCCGTTTGTTGATGAGCTGCAAAGCCGGATTTTGTGTCATTATCAAGCAACCAAAGTCCAGGTTTTTGTTTATCTTTGCTTATTGATTTTGTTTTATGGCCTTTTGATTTAGAGTTCTTTTTTTTTCCTGCTTTGTATTTTCATAAATGAAATTCACTTACTTCAACAACGAAAAATTATGTATTTATTAGCCTAATCTTGTTTTTTTTTCTCTTTAGGATGGTGCGGTTGATGATTCCAACTGCATAATTCGAACTAGTTCCAAACATTGGTCAGCAAGGTTTTCACAGCCTAAGAATCAAGATGAGGAAGGTGACGCAGAAGAGAAACGGGGTCTTGAGAACTCAGATGGATCAGAGATTCTTCCTTTTGAGTTTGTTGCACTGGAGGCATGCCTTGAAGCTGCTTGCAGCTGCTTAGAAAATGAAGTGAGTATCTTCTTGTCTGTTAGATTGTCCTTGAACCATTTTCGCCATCATGTTGTTTTATTCGTTATATGATCTGTTCTCTTTTGGTTATCGTTTTTTGTTGCCAAAGCAGGCAACAACATTGGAGCAAGAGGCTCATCCAGTCTTAGATAAGCTGACCTCAAAGATTAGTACTCTCAATTTGGAGCGTGTTCGACAAATTAAAAGCCGGTTGGTTGCAATAACTGGGCGAGTTCAGAAGGTTTGAGTATTTTAATCTTTTGAACTATTTATGCACATTTTCATTAGTTTGACCTGAAAGCTCTTCTCTCGTGTCATGGTAGATGCAATTTTTTAGTTCCACCAATTCAACAATGCTCTTGTTTCTAATTCTTTTTTTTTCTTATTTTATTTAAGCTTCCACTTTCAATTTAAATTAAGTATATGAATATCTATGCTCATATTCAGGTGAGGGATGAATTGGAACACTTGCTAGATGATGGTGAAGATATGTCTGAGATGTATTTAACTGAGAAACTTCTTGAAAATTCTTCAACCTCGTCTATGAATGAGGCAGATGATATGGATGAAGAGGTTCTTCAGCCAGACATTGACAAGAGGCACTAAACAGTTTCTCCAGTCATTTTCATTAACGATTCCCTCTTTTCAGTTCATTTTATTTGCAATCTTCTGCATCTCAGATTTGTCTCTGTATTTTCAGGAAAACAGCTGAAATCTCTTTGGCAACCAATTATGACGGTGATCTCCAAGACTCTGACAACCTCCAAGATTATTTATTTGGTGCTCCTAATGCAATTGGCAGAGCCAGCCATGGAACTCGTACAAGTACCACTCACAGTGCCATCATCAAGCACCTTGATGTAGAGGAGTTAGAAATGCTCTTGGAAGCATACTTCATTCAAATTGATGGCACACTGAACAAGCTATCCACGGTATGTCACTTGCATTTACCACTTGATTACTGTCTCCTTGGTTGGCATCCAATAATTTGGACATGGTTCAGTCTCATCCTTAAGGAACTTGATTCAATATACTGGTACAGCTTTAAGCCAGTAATCCAGCTGAAATCCTAGCTGAGCTCATTTTATGGACTTGTTGCTTCACTCAAAGTGGATAAGATTGATATATTATTCATAAATATTTTTGAAGAAAGGGAGATGGATGAAATAATGCAATGGATATCCAGATTGCATCTACTATTGGACTTTTTGCTTTACTTATATGATAATAAAGGAAAATGCAAGTATCAGAGTCTAAAAGGCTATAATCCCTGTAACTATTCTGGCAAAGAACTCATGTTGCTTTCTGACTACCACTTTTCATATTTTATTTGGAAAAGAAATTTAACTTCTGAATATTAAAGCTGTATGACCCCTTTTATATATATTTCATTAGCATCTATTAGATTGTATGTTAAGCAATATACACCATATATATTTTAAACCTTCATCGGCTGTATGGAGATTAGCTTCTTGTGATGCAGGTTATAGATATTAATTTTTCTCAATTTTGTTTCTTCTTTCTTGGAAGTTGAGGGAATATGTGGATGACACAGAAGACTACGTTAACATAATGCTGGATGACAAACAGAACCAGTTGCTTCGGATGGGAATCATGCTAACGACAGCAACCCTTGTCCTTACAAGCTTTATTGTAGTTACTGGTCTCTTAGGCATGAATATCCATATTGAGCTATTTGATTCAACTGTATCAGGGATGCCACAGTTTCTGTGGACGGTTGGAGGTGGTACAACTGGGATAATATTCCTCTACGTGATTGCTATTGCATGGTATAAGTACAAGCGCTTGTTATAGTAGTTGAGACCAAGCTATATAGCTTCTGAAGCCACGCATATATATGGGTGCTTTATGCGGACAAGACTAATGGTTACGTAATTACATTTATATATCCTGTACATGGTGACCTGTATTACCCTGTATAAATCTCTCGAATGCTTTTTTTTTAACAATTTGTAACTGTAATACATGCATTTGTGGCTGCAAAGTTTTTAGGCTTCTTTTTCCATCCATCTTTTTTTTTTAAAAAAAAATTGTTACCTGCCTTCTTTTTTTTTTTTTTTTTTTTCAATTTTTACCTTGCGGAAGCAGCACCAGTTACCTGCCTATGTGCAGAAACAAAAACCATGAATGAATAATCTCTTAAACTGGTAATTCCCCCTCAGAAGTCAGACCATATAGGCTATTAATAGGTTCTGCTGTCCGCTCCTTGAAAAGTTCTTGATCAGCCTGAAAAATCACTTAGAAATTAATTTTGCATATAAAAAGTATTGGCAATAAATCAGGTTTGTAGTAATATTAACCAATATATTTTACAAAAGAGTAACGCAAAGTGGCATTGAAATTGAAATCTTAAGTTACTAATTATATGTACCAAAATGAAAGAAGAGAGAAAAACAAAGAATCTTGTAATTTGAAACAGATTGAAAATGTCCTTATATTTAAAATCTGACACTTAATTACCTATATTATTATTATTATTTTGTTCATAGGAGGACAAAACCCTTACAAAATGAAAATGGGGATGATGGAGTTTGAACTCATACCTACATGTCTTCTTCAAAGCCTGTTAACCTCTAGGACAAGAGATGGAAGAGAATCGCTCTATATTATTAATCTTCTGTTATCAGAGCTTGGATGCATTAACTTTTTATTCAAGTGACTCTTTCATTCTTACGTGTTTTCCATTTTCTTTTTGATAAAGGACAAATTACATAAATATATCCTGAGATTTAATGTGATTTGAGTTTGTTCACTGAAGTTTAAAAAGTGACATTTAATTACCCTGAGCTGTGTATCAGTGACATTACATTAATTTTCTTTAATATCGTTAACACCTAATCAATAAACCCTAGTTCTTTCCCTAAAATTTTTTTGTTTGCTATTTCTTAGATTCGAACTTTTCAAAGAAAAATTGAGTTGAAAGCATGAATTTTTCATAATTTTTAGCAAGTAGGGGATCAAATGGTTGAAAAGTATGCTATTATGATGTGGAATCACCTATAAGAACATCTGGAACAAGGAACAACCATGGGTAAAAATTTTATGGGTGTAGCAAATTTAAAGTGAGATGTATTTAATTTAATCTTGAAATAACTTGTAGGATAATTGAAATAATGTATTTAATCTTACATTTCTTGTTAGGGAAGTCAAAAATGTGATTTTTTCTAGTGGGTGGATGAAATGTCATGTGATTTTGTAAAAAAAAAAAAAAAAAGGTTAAATTTGAAGAAACAATCAAGAAAATGGAATATGAGATTTCCATGTCAAATTCAAAGAAGCAAGAATTATTTAAAGAATTGGTTTTAGTTTCAGCAAAAAAAAAAAAGAGTTTGCAAGAAGAATTAGTCAAAGCAGAAAAAAAAAAGCTGAATCAAAGGAAGAACTTGCTGACAGTCAGAATAGAGGAAAAAGGGGGGTGTTTTTAATTTGTTTAAGTGTTTTGGTTTTGCTTATAGTAATTTCGTATGATCACTTTAATCTAAGAAGTTGTAGAAGCCAATTTTTGAAATTGAAGAATTAAAATTCTAGTGTTGATGTTAGTGGGAAGGAGTTAATGCTTTATGTGTACCAAGTGTTTGTTGAAATAACCCAATGAACTCTGTGATTAATATATATAGTTTTCTTCTATTGTAGCTATGTTGAGTCATTTCTTTTATGGTAGCTGTGTTATTTGATTTATAACACAATCAATAAACTTGTAAAAAGCCATATTTCCATCAACTACCACATTTCCTAACACCCAGTAACCATATTTGAAAACAACCACATTTTCATCATCAACATTGTTTGACTAAGAAACATAGCAAAGAACATGAAGGCCTATAATTCATATTGATATGAGAAACAAATTGTGCTTTTAACAGAGCAACATTGTACAATATTAAACTTGTAAAGGTATTGGCTATAAATAAAAAATGATTATATCCTAAAATGGTTCATTCACATTCAACCCAAAAAGAACTATACCACATTCACCTAAAAAGAACTATACCAACAATAAGCTTCTATACAAAAATCCATATACGCTAAATTAATTCATAACTTCCACCTAACAATAACTATACATCAACATACATCATCAAAATAGTATGTACAAACCATTCCCAAATTGTACCCAAACTCATTGGCTACTAGTTGCTTAGCTATCAACTCTTTTAGTTACTAGTTTATTGATTTCTACTAGCAGTATGATTGCCAATTGGTTGACTACCAGATGCATGGTTACCACTTATAATAGGCCTACTCTTTCTTTTAATTAGTGTAACTTTTGACCTAAAAGGTCATTTTCCTCTTCTTCTAGTAATATTTATAATAGCTTTTCTCATTAGACTTGTGCCAAGATTTGAAGTTATAGTAGTAACTGAAACTTGTGTATCAACATTTGCAATGCCTTTTCTCTCGTACCAACATTGCCATCATTTCTTTTAGTTTTTCATTTTGTAGCAACATTAGTAATAGTTTTTCCTCTTGTACCAACAATGCCATCATTTTTTTCTCTATCAGCATTAAGAAGCACTTCTTTGGATCTATTTCTTTGGATCTATATTTCTTTAGATTTGCTTTTACTAAAAGCCTTGACTAGTAGCCTTTCCTCCTGAAGTTGTCCCTGAAGAAGATGCAGCATTCTGGGTAACCTATCAAAATAACCATATAAAGAAAATAAAATAAATAACAAGATAAACTATATGATAAACAAAATTAGTAGAAACAAAAATTACAACTTACACTCTAATAAACAATCTAATAGTAGGTTAATAATAGAAACTTTAATAGCAGAAACAATCAGCTAAACAAAAATAGCAAAAATAGCCTTAACCTTATATTGACACTTTGATACAATATGATACAATCAGATAAACAAATATAGTATGAAACAAAAAATAATAGGCTCATAAAATAGCATGAAAATAAAAACAGCATGAAACAATCTGATAAATAAAAATAGTAGAAACAACATTAACCTTACATAATAGAAATAGCAAAAACTACTAATTAAGTATAGGTCCTTAACCTTGTTAACCTTATTAACCTTATCATTCTTTACCATGAAATCTTTCCTATAATTGATGCTTTGCAACATCTCACATTGTGTCTTTCTTGACCATAGTTTCCACACTTTATTGGTTTATTCCTCTTATATAATTTGTAAGGATTTTGAAGTTCATCAATTGCTCTTCTTTTTAATTTTTTTAGTCTGTCTAGTGGCTTACAAATGATTAGAGGGGCTAAAGGATGGTTATTTGTAACTCATTCATATTGTTCTGGAATAGGGTCAATTATGCTATCATGTCTTCATTTAAGTCTTTTTAGAGTAGCAAGAATGGATATAACTTTTTGGTTTCTCTTTGTTCTTAAAAATAACTAAAATAGCATGTTTACAAAGGATTCCAATCAAATTTCAATACTTGCAAATGCAACTCTGTTCTGTCAAATTCACAACATGGCTAGATACATCACATTCAATTTCATAAATATACCTACTAGCTAAAACTGAAAAATGGTTGAATGAATCTTTTTTTATTCTTTCCTATTTGTCCTAAACATCAAAATAAATAAGGCTTTTGTATGACTCCATTCCAACTCTTTTAGCATAAAACCTTTTCATCAATATTTTTCTAATATATTCTAACATGCTCAGTATAGGTAAATCCCTAGCTTGTAAGATGTAAGTATTAAATAACTCACTAAGATTATTAACCAATAAATTACTCTTAGTTCTTGTGCTAAAATAAGACATTACCTATTTAGATGGGTTCAATCTACTTACCCAAGCATAGGCCTAGCTTATTTTGTCAAGTTCTTTAATATGCAGTATGACTTTTTCCTATTCTTTGACTGACCTAACACTTGTTGCTTTTCACAAAGCTTGTTTATACTCTTTTCACTTAAACTATCCTTTAAAATTTTGTACAAATGCCTCAAACAGAACTTATGCTCGACTTCATGATATACTTCTTGAAATGTTCGCTCCAATCCCTACCAAATAAATAGAAAATAACATATATATTATTAGAAATTAGAACACAAAGGATATTAGATAAATAGAAACAACAAGAAATTTCATAACTTTTATTGATTAGACATGAATTCTAATCCCAGTTCATGAAAATTGCCAACTTATTCATGTAACAGATTAAGAAACCAAGACTAGGTTTCTTTATTCTCTTGTTCAACTACTGTATAACAAAATGGGAAAAAGTTTTCATTCCCATCTTAAGCAGCAACACTAAGTAATTGTCCTCCAAAATGATATTTCAAGTGACAGCCATCTAGCCCTATCAACTTTTTACATCCATTAATGAATCTCTTATTCTGTGTATCAAATATAATGAAGATCCTTTCAAATCTAAGAACAAAATCTTTAGAAACACCAGTTTTATCATCAAAATTTTTAGATTCCAATTTCATCAGTACAGAGCTTTCTGGATTTGTCTGTTGAATCATATCACAGTAATCCTATAATTTGGCATACTGCAACTTCACATTTTCTTTCATCATTTCTTTAGCTTTTTTTTTTAACTTTATATACTTGAGAGATAGATACATCAACTTTTATCTCTTTAAACATCTTTGTTCTAATTTTTTTAGTTTTTCAATTAGGATTATCTTTCAAGTCATCAAAGAATTTTTTAGCCAAATAAGGTGTAATAACCTAGTAAATCTTGAACTCCCTCGAACAACTATGATTCAAATTAAAAGTCTTGATTGAAATCTTTGATCCTCCTTCATCCTAGAAGCATATATCCTCCATCCACGGTCTTTAACACATGAAGTATTAATCTTCACCCCATTATTTATTTTAAACTTATAGTCAAAGCCTTTGCTCACTCAATACTCCTTCAATGCCTTTCTATAAACATAGGCACTAATAAACTTCATTCCAACCTTGAATTTTTCATATCAACCTCTTCATCAAAGATAATATATAAATCTCCCTCATCATTAGATCCATGCGAATTATGTAAATCACCATCCTTTACC